GCTCTCAGGGCGGCCCTGCAGAGGGCCATCTTAGACGAGTCCTCCTTCCAGCTGGGTTTCACCTCGGCCTCCCTCCTCCTCGACCTCGAAAATTTTTATGATCACGTCAGCATGCTGTTACTAATGCGTGTTTCGGTCGAGCAGGGTTTCCCCTCGATTGTCACCCTTTTAGAGGTGCAGATGTTCCTTGCTCCCAGGATCCTGCGGTCCAGGAACATCGCGTCGGATTTAACTTTTCCCACCCGTTCTATAGTAGCAGGGTCTGCTCACGGTGTCAAACTCGATAAGGTTTTCCTGGGTCCGATTTTGTCGGCCGCTCACGCGGCCTCGGGGGCCCGTGCCCTGGTCTCCCCCGCGGGCCTCTGGACCTTTGTTGATGACACCGTGGCGCGGGCTTGGGGCACCGAGGAGAATGTCATTGCGCAGCTCTCCACCATTGGCCAGTCTTTCGCCCGATCGTTTGCCTTGCATCAACTGCCCGCTTCGCCCAAGACCAAGGTCATTGCTTCCTCCACTAAGGTTGGTAAGCGCATTGTGGCCAGCCTGAGATAGGTAGGCATCCCAGCTTCCCTGGCGGTCCAAGCTGTTGACCTGGGTTGCGACACGGGAGGTGGGGCTCGTCGGGTGGTCGTTAAGCTTTTGGACCGTCAGAGGAAGGCCCGTCCACGCGCGCAGCGCATTCGACGCCTGCGTCGCCACGCCAAGGCGGCCAACGTGTCCCATGGGGCTTTGGTTACAGGGGGGCCCTTCCTCAGGCTGTATATGGCCATCAGGCCATGGGCCTCTCCCCCTCATCGATCCTAGCCTTGAGGCGCCAGGCTTCCCAATCTGTTGTCAGTAAAAGCCCAGGCCGTTGTCTTACCACGGTGCTCTCTTTGTTTTATGCTGAGCGAGAGCCCTTCATCGCCTTGAGGGCTCAGGTGTTGTTCACGTGGTTTGACATGTGGAATCGGTTCCCTGAGTTGCATGGCCGCATCTCTCGCGCGTGGCACCACATTCGGGGCCGCCTGGACCTGTTGGCCTCGAAACGCTGGCGTCGGGTGCGGGGTCCGATCGGGGCCGTCGTCGCCACGTTACTCGACGTTGGTTGGAAGCCTGTGTCCCCTGTTAAATGGCGCAGACCCGTGGGGGACCAATATGAAGTGTGGCATTTTCCTGATCGGGACGACATTGAGCGCCTTGAAGGCGACTTTGATGTCGTTGAGTTGGTTGATGATTTCAGGGACGATTTAACTGCGCTCTTGTGGGCCCAGGCAGCGGCCCACCCTCACGGCGATGACTTGGCCGAGGGGGCTGATCTCCAGCCTTTGCGCCAGGAGCTTAGGCGTCTCGAGCGTAGGGATCAGTATGAGCAGGTAGGCCTTCTCACGACTGTCGTGTCAGGAGGCCAGTGGACCCACGTCCGCCAACTTGAGGCGGGGTATGTTGTTGCCTCTACCTGCCCCCGATGCGGCTCGGCCCCGGAGACGCTTTTCCACAGAGTGTGGGAATTCCCCAAGAATTGCAATCATGAGGCCTTTGAGCTCTCTGACGGTTTATGCCACCAGGCCAGAGTGGGACACGAGGCGAATCCTGCCTTGTGGCTCCGCGGCCTGCCTCCTAGGTCTTTAACATGCCCTGTGTTCAAGGACGGGGGGGCGGACGTGGCTCGGGAGGTGGGGTCGTCGCCGTCGTTAGTCGAGGGATCCTCTGTCGAGGCGGCCAGGTCCCCTGCAGGGCTCCTGCGGGTTTTTGGAGATGGCTCAGGAGGCGCCTTTAGCTCTGACCCGCGCCGCCGACGAGTCGGCGCGGCCGCTGCGCTGGTGGCCTGGGATGGCACCATGTGGTGCCGACTTAAGGGCTGGGCTTCCACCACCTCAGGCCGCCGCCAGACGGCCCCCAGGGCAGAGCTGTTGGCCTTCGAGCTGGCTCTCCGCAATGTCCCAGGGAACTTCGAGTATGTTACGGACAACCAGCCCCTGTTAGAGGGGTGGAGGCGCCGCCGTTTCCGTCGTTGCAGTGGTGTGAATTCGGACCTTTGGTTTCGTATCCGCCTGGCCCTTGAGGGCCGCGAGAATGGGATTTCTGTTTTGTGGACCCCCTCCCACCTGGATCCCACTGACCCCTCCTTGTCGGAGGACCAGGTTCTTCTCGCGGCGGGCAACGAGTCTGCTGATGAGTTGGCGGGCCAGGCGGCGCAGGAGTCTTGGGACCTTGCTACTCGTGGCCAGCGTATCCCAGGCACCGACCGATGGGACGCCACTTGTTTTTTGGTTCGCCAACGGGCCGCCCAAGCTCTGGCGGAATCCATTCGCGTGGCCCCATGGACCGCGGACAGGCCCAAGATGGGCCGTTCCACTGTCACCAAACTGCAGGCTGCCCTTAGAGGTAGCTCGCACTGTTCAATTAAAACTGGCGCGAAGTGGATTTGCTCACTTTGCTCGACCATATTTCCCTCGGCGAATGTCTTTGAGGCCTGCGGCCAGCCCTGTCCCGCTGTGGATGACGGCGGGACGCTGCAGGAGTTTGGCCACAGAATTTCTCGGGTGAGGCGGGCGGTGACGGTGGGGGGGGAGTCTCTGCATCCCAGTCACTGTCTGCATTTCTGGCCCGAACACTCGCTGTACTTTTGTGCTCGGTGTGGCCGCTCGGCTACTGTCGACCCGAGGCAACTACGCAGCGAGTGCGCCCAGTGTTCTAAGAAAGGGCACGAGACTCTACTTCGAATTCGTCGAGGGCTTTTCCCAGGCCACAAGGGTCCTTCGGCCCCCGTCTTGGAGGCCGCTGTCAGTCGGGTCCGACGCGTCGAAGGGCGTCGGTTGATCCCTGGCTCTCGCTAGTCCCGCCTGCCACGTAGACTGTGGCGATCATCACACTCATGACACTCCTCCTCCTCCTCCTCCTCCTCTCTCCTCCTCCTCCTCTCCTCCTCTCCTTCCTCCCCTCCTCCTCCTCCTCCTCCTCCTCCTCCTCCTCTCCTCTCCTCCTCCTCCTCCTCCTCCTCCTTCTCCTCCCCTCCTCCTCCTCCCTCCTCCTCCCTCCTCCTCCCTCCCTCTCCTCCTCCTCCTCCTCCTCCTCATCCTCCTCCTCCTCTTCTTCCTCCTCCTCCTCCTCCTCCTCCTCCTCCTCCTCCTCCTCCTCCCTCCTCCTGGTCCCTCCTCCCCTCCGTAAGCCGAGCGTGGCCCCCGCGCCTCCCGAGGAGCGCGGGGGGTCTGCTGCGTGTGTTTTTGTAGGTTTTTCCAGCCGCCAGTGCTTGCCACCCCGACCGGGTGTTTCCAGAGGTGGCCCTGGCCCAGGGCGTCCCGGGCCTGGGCCCTGCCTGGGCCTCGACAGGGAGGTGGTCCAGAGGCCTTCGCGGCCTCCCAGCCTGCATGAGGCCAGCCTCGGCCGCGGGGCCACCTCCGGGCGACCCCCGGCCCGAAGCGACCCGGGCAGTAGGCAGTAGGAGGAGAGCGCAGGGCACGGAGACCCCCCCAGCGTGTCTCGGGGCGACGGTGGCTCCCTTCCTGCCGCGCGGGCGACCGAACAGAGGAAGACAAAAGCGCGACGGCTCGCCGCTGGGCTCCTGCGCTCGACCCCAACGGCGAGCACACACACCGGGCGTGGCCTCGGAGAAAGTGCCAGGGGGGCGAGCCACCCATGCGGGCACGCGGTGGGTTGCGCGGTCCATGGGTTGCGCCTGAGTTTGCGTCATCCATGGGTTGCGCCATCCATGGGTTGAGGCAGGGGTTGCGCCAGCCAGTGGTTGCGCCAACGACGGGTTGCGCCATGGGTTGCGCCATCCATTGATTGCGGCATTGGATGTGATGAACGCCGACGCGGGCGCCGCGATTAGTTGCGCCGTCGTTTGCGCTCCCGGCCGCCGAACATGTAATTGTCTGCTACACGCGCGATCCATGGGTTGCGCCATGGGTTGCGGTATCCATCGGATGCACCACGGGTTGCGCCATCCACGGATTGCGACATACACTGATTATACGCCACGGGTTGCGCAAGAGCGTCTGATCGCCTACACCGGCACCGCGATTGGTTGCGCCATAGGTTTCGCATTCGCTCGACGGGAAGACAACGGCCTGCGAGTCGTCGCGCCATAGGTTGCGCTCTCGGACGCAGGGGATACGACTGCCTGCTACTGGGTGCGCCATAGTTTGCCCTCTCGGCCGCCGAGAACGAAATGGCCTGCTGCACGCGCGATCCATTGATTGCGCCACGGTTGCATCATCCATGGGTTGCGCGACGGTTGCGCCATCCACAGGGTGCGCCTTGGGTTGCGTCATCCATTGAGCGCGCCATGGCTTGCACAAGTTCGTATGATCGCCGACGCCGGCATCGCGACTGGTTGCGCCATAGCTTCCGCACTCAGCCGCTTGGAAGAAGCTTTCAGGATAGTGGTTGCGCCAGGGATCCCGCACTCGGCCGCAGGGGTATACCAGCCCACGATGGGTCGCACGATGGGTTCCACTCCCAGACCCCGAGAATAATATTGCCTGCTGTTGGTTAAATCATGGGTTGCGCACTCGGCCGCGGAGCATAGAACTGCCTGATGGGTTGTGGTAGTCTTGAGGTCCTTCAACATCGATCGAACAAGCTTTGGCGCCTCACGGAGCTTTCGGGGCACCACATTCGGGACGTCTTGGGGCCAGCCTGGTGCCTCACCAGCTTTGATCTGCGCTTGTGGTGGGGATTCTCACGCCTGTCGCCCCTCTGGCGGCGAGTGTGAGGCCCGCAGACCCCCAAGGGGCGCCCTCGCGCACGCGAACTAGAAACACAACAAGTCGACAACGCTGCCTCATTGCACTTGCTTGGAAGATCTGGCACGCCTTCGGGCCGATGGGCTGGCGCACTTCTCTTTCGGCCTCCCCCCCTCGCTCCCTCCCCCGCCTCCTGCTTATCCGAGCACCCTCCGCGCACTCCCCCTCAGAGGTCCGTAGCCGTTGTGGCTCAAGAGGCGCCAGGAGCAGCCCGCCCCTGGTAGCCCACCCCTGGCACACCGCGCGGCCCCGCGCGGGCGCGGGCCGGTGATGCCCGAGGCCCCAGACGCCGCCGCCGAGCCATCCGCAGCGGAGCCCCTGGCGCGAGCGTCTCTGGCCGTGGACGCGCAGCCCGTCGGCGAGACCTCGGCGGAGGAGCCGCCGCTGCGCGTGGGCCTGATCGCAGACGTGCAGCACGCCGACCTGCCCGACTCCCGCAGCGGGTACGGCAGGGCCCGCCGGTACCGCGACGCACTGGGCAAGGCGCGGTTGGCGGCCGCGGACTGGGCCGACAGCGGCTGCACGCTTGCAGTGAACCTGGGCGACACTGTCGACCGGCGCGCGGGCGCCGACGCCCCCGCGGCGCTGCGACGCGTCCTGGACGCCTTCGGCGCCTTCGGCCCGCTGCTCCACGTCCTGGGCAACCACGACCTCAGCGCGCTGCCCGGCGAGGACCTCGAGAAGCTCGCCCTGGTGCCAGCCGGGGCGCCGGAGAGCGTTGTCGGCCCCGGGGGGCGCTGCTGCGACGTCGCCGCCGGCCCGGGCTGGCGACTCCTCCTCCTGGACACCTACGACGTCTCGGTGCGGCGGTGCCCCGACGCGGCCCGCGCCCTCCGGAGGCGGCTGCTGTGCGAGGCGCGGGAGCGGGGGCTTCCGTGCGCCCACCTGGCCGAGCACGAGGAGCTGAACGGCGCGGTGGGCGCCGCGCAGCTGGGCTGGCTGCAGGGGCGGCTCGAGGCCGCACGGGCGCGCGGGGAGCGCGCCGTGGTGCTGGCCCACGCGGCGCTGAGGCCGGAGCCCACCTACTACGGGGACGCCGTGTGCTGGAACTGGCAGGAGGTGAGCGGGCTGCTGGACGGCTTCTCGGGCGTCGTGGCCGCGGCCATCACGGGGCACGACCACCACGGCGGGCTGGTGGACACCGAGGCCGGGGTCCGCCACTGCGTCCTCGAGGCGGCCCTGGAGGGCCCTGCGGGGGGGCCCGCGCACGCCGTGCTGGAGCTGCACAGCGGCAGCGTGCGCCTGGTCGGCAGCGGCAGCGTGCGCTCATGGAAGTGGCCATCGTAGGGGGAAGGAGGGGATGAGGAAGAGTGCGGTGAGGACGATGATCGATGATAGACGAGTTGCTGCAGGCCCCCGGGTACCTCTGGAGACCTCCAGGGCCTCTGAGGAGGAGGAGCTGAGCGAAGGCACGGCGGTGGGTACGGTCCCGTCTTCCTCCCATCCTCCCCCACCCATCCCCCTTTCCCTCCTACCCCTCGACGAGTGATTCATCAAGAGGCTTGCTCCAATCCGCGGACCCCCAAAAGAGATAGTCGGAATCCATTGATTTCGCCAGGTTCCAGGTAGGACACAGTGACTGCGTCCGACGTGGGCTTCGGTCCGCTGAGCTGCTTCGAAGGGGCTGCCGATTCCATGCAGGGTGGCGTCTCGGGAATGTGACCGATCAGCTATCATAGCTAGTGGCATTTTGAGATTGTCGAATGACCCCCCCCGAGGGGGGGGGGCAGGCGACGTCGTTCGCTCGCGGGCCGTGCGGTGCGCGCCTGCCCGCTGCATGGAGCTTGCGTGGGCGTGCGCAGATCGAGGCTCGAGGTTTCGTTGGGGCCCTGGCTTCGTTGGCTCGTCGGGCCTGCGTCCTCCCCGGATGGTCGCCGTCGCGGCTTTTCTCCTGGCGCTTGGCCAGTGCCAGACGCCGGCTTGACTTATCCCACGAGCTCGTGTAAAACAAATTCATCTCCCGCCTTCATCTCAAGGAGGGCACGGCGGCGGGGAGGGCGACGGTAGCGGCGGCGACGGCCATTGCCTCTGCTGGCCTTCCCTCCCGCCGCCTCGCCCCCCTCAGTCCGTGGCCATGTTGGTCCGGGCGCCCTTCTGTAGCGGAGGCGCTGATGCGCCTGTCGCCTTCTTTGGCAGCAGGGCATCGGCGCTAATCGCTGGCGCCGCCATGGCGTATTTCATCTGGCGGACGTCCCCCCACGATTCGCTCGAGCTGGGAACACACGTTTTTAATCACGCGCCGGGCTTGTTCTACGAGCAACGAGCTGACATTAACTACCTGGGTGTTCAGACAGAGGGGGTTCGCGCATTCATCTAGTAACCAGCTTGCAAAGCATGTCTCCGCGCCGTGTGTTCCGACGCGCGGCCTTCCGTCTTGGGGAGGGCGCCTCGGCCACGAGGACAAACGCCGCCTTGGGCCTAGAGCTCGCCTTAAATTTGCTGTGCGTGTGCTGTGGTGTCGGCGTCGTCCACTGGGGCGCGTCGAGAACAAACGTCGCGGCGACACATATTTCGCTGGTTGTTGGGCACGAAACAGTCTTTGCTCCCCATGGGTGCTGCCAAGCACGTAGCTGTCGCCAGTCGGCTCGATATTGGGAAACGGTCTACTCAGATGCATAGGGGACCTTATCCGTTGTGGAGGTTCTTTGGGGGAAGATGGAGGAGGAAATGAAAGGACCGAGCGGAACGAAAGGCTGGTTACACAGCAGGAGGAGGAGGAGGAGAAGGAGGAGGAGGAGGAGGAGGAGGAGGAGGAGGAGGGAGAGGGCACGATGAGAAAAACGAGGAGGCGGTGGAAGAGGAGGAGAGGAGAAAGTCGACGAGGCCTTTTGGATGTCAATGGGGTCTGTCGCGGAGCTTCATGGGGTCTTCTTGGAGGCCTCGGATGGGGGCTCTTGGGAGCCATCTGGGACCTCCTGGGGGCTTTTTCGGGTTTTCTGAGGCTGTAGTAGGCCATCTCGGGTGGAAAGGCTCCCAGGGCTCCTGCAAGTTCCCCTTCCCCTCTGGAGTCCTTGGAGCTTTTTGAATCGTCTTGGGGTCTCTTGGACAGTTTTTGGCCGGTGCTGGGAGCCTCTTGGCGCTTCTCGGGCTTTCGATGGCGAGTGCCAGAACATTTATCAGGGCCGCATGAGGCCCTCTTGGGGTCTTCTGAACGCCGTCTCAGGGGCGTCTTCGGGGGCCTCTTGAGCCGTCTTGCGGCCGTCTTGGATCTTCTGGAAACCTCTTGGGCGCTTTGGGGCCGCTGTTGCAACATCTTCGAGCGCATCTGGAACATATGGCATTCTCTTGGGCCCAGAGGGTGCGTTGAGGAGCGCACGGGGGCCCTCACCCCGCTTGGATTCTGGAGTCCTGGGGAGGGCGCAACGGGCAAGAGGAACAGCCAACCATCTCACACGCCTGTCGACCCCCTGCATGCGGGGCTCGGCAGTCTTTTCCAGACGCGGCCCAGGAGGTCTCGAGACACCTTCTCCGTGAATAGTTTCCCGATCCCGGTCCATGCTCGATGGCCCCCAGGCCCAGCAGAAGGCCTCCCGGAGGCCGAAACCGAGCGGCCCCTTCCAATAGAGCCTGTTTTTCTTTATATCGAGGCAAGCTTACTTGCATGGCGTTCGCCCCCCCCCCCCCCCCCCCGCCCCTCTTCAATCGAACACGAGCGTGCACGTGCCTTTCGACTTGCATGATTTCCGCACGTCGAATTGTTTTCGGCTTGCTTCAGACTCAGCCCCCCCCCGTCCATGCAAGTAAACTTGCCCGAATCCAAAGAAAAACAGGCTCATAGGACCTGCTCCGGGCACGCTCAGCCCACAAGTTTCGCCATCGCTTGGGGACTCGGCCTTCTCTTCCGCCAGCGGAGCCGCCCCTGCGTTTCACCTTCGCGGCCTTCCGCCGAGGAGGGGGAGGGCAGCCCAGCGGCCCCTCGAAGGCGGGGCACCTGTCTTCTGGAACGCCGCATGTAGGAAGGCACCAACTATACACCAACACCGATCCTGGCCAGGATCGGTGTTGGTGTATAGTTGGTGCCCTCCGAGCATGTGCTCCCCCACCCTGCGCCGTTTTTCCCCCCTTCTCGGACAAGGCCGCCTCCCCAAACCCCCGACGCCGTGATGCTCTTTCACGACGTGAGCCCCCGAGAGGTCTGGACCCCGTCCATGTGTTTTTGCCCACTTTCGGAATCTCGGACAGCTACACAGCTCTCCGTGGAGGGGGGCGCGGGCATGAAAGAGAGCTTCGCTCTACAGTCTCGAGAGATTTCAGCTCGGCCTGCGACTCAAGGTGTATTCGAAAAACGAGTGTGACCGGGCAACTGTCTCTGGGACCGGCTTCTCATCCTCAGTCGTTTCGCGACGGCTCCAGGGCCAGGCGAGGGCCCACAGAGGGCGACAGCATATCAACAGCATTTGCATAGATTTGTTCACCGACGCGAGGGGGTCTGCTTGGATCACCGCGGTGGTTGCTAAGTAGATAGGAGGTTATAGTGGATGCGATGGTGGGTTACGTCTGCCCCGGCCTAGTGTATAAGTGAGCAAATATTCAGGTCAAGTGGGCTCCGCCCTCGTGGCGGAGTTATCACAGCTGCACGAGTCATTTAGTTGGGCCCGTCCCCCTACATGAGGAATATTCATCAATAGTGAAGAATAGTCAGGGGAAGATGTTTCTAGTATTGTTGGCAACTTTTTGTTCAGCAGTTTTGGATTATGTTTATAATTTGTCGTCCAAAATCCGCCTGCAGGAGGGCACGCACAACCATTATCAAGCTCACGCAGAGCCCACTCAGAAGTCAGGGCAAACCAGACGTTACCAACCTTCCCATGCACTTCTAGCCCCTGCCCACTTAGCATCAACGACCGACGCTCGATCAGCCCCCATGCTGCTGCTCCCTACTCTGGGCGCCAGGGGCAGCACGGGCACGGATCAAACATCTTTGCCTTGGAGGCCGGAATGGTATCTATGCCCATGTCGCCGCTCTGGCCCCTCGAGCAGGAGATAGAGAGGTTGGTGGGGAGGGGAAGGATGAATTGGAAGGAGCGGGAGGATAAGGAGGAGAGGGATGAGGATCAGGATGAGGATGAAATGAGGATGAGGATGAGGATGAGGATGAGGATGAGGATGATGATACAGATGATGATACAGATGATGATGATGATGATGATGATGATGATGATGATGATGATGATGATGATGATGATGATGATGATGATGCTGATGCTGATGCTGATGCTGATGCTGATGCTGATGCTGATGCTGATGCCGATGCTGCTGATGCTGATGCTGATGCTGATGCTGATGCTGATGCTGATGCTGCTGCTGCTGATGCTGATGACGACGATGACGATGACGACGACGACGACGACGTCGACGACGACGACGACGACGACGACGACGACGACGACGACGACGATGATGATGATGATGCTGATGATGATGATGATGATGATGATGATGATGATGGTGATGGTGATGATGATGGTGGAGAGTGTGCGCTCCAGGCACTGCCGCCGTGCGCATCGGGATCCGCACAGGCGTCCGCATAGAAATCCGCATAGGAGTCTGGTCCGCAGTCGTCGTTGTCGTCGTCATAATCGTCGTCGCTCGTCGCTCGTTGCTCGTCACTCATCGTCGTCGTGCGCTCGGGCGCGGCTGAAGCCTGTTTTTTCGTTCCGGGCCGATGACGGCAATCATCTGGGGGGGGGGGAGAGGGCCGATGACGTCACGTTACGCGCCGGCGGCGTCTGAGAATGCTTAGGCATGACCGAAGACGGGTAGCAGCAGCATGTAGGTGGCGATCTGCACCACAGCGCCAGTGCTTGCGTGTACCACAGCGCCTGTGTACACCACACCGCCCAGGTACACCACAGCAGCCGCGTGCAACACATCGCCAGTGTGTGCCACAGTGCCTGCGGGCATCACAGCGCTTGTACACCACAGCGCCTGGGTACACCACGCCAGCCGTGTGCAACACAGCAACAGTGTACACCATAATGTTTGCGTGCGCTACAGCGCCTGAGTACACCACGGCGCCTGTGTGCACCACAGCAACCGTGTGCAAACAGAGCACCACCTGTCGCATGTTGAATTTTAGAATGAATCCTTATGACAGAATGGAGCGCCTGTGGACTCCACAGAAAAGAATGTTTTACATAGGATTTGAAACGGAATCCTATTGGAAAAAGGAGCGCCGCTGGAATCTGCGAGTCCTTCCGAGTCCGCCCGCATCATTCTAACTCCTCCCATTTGCGTCCAGGAGGCTCCAGCAAAATTGGCCGTCCGAGACCAAAGTGGATTGATTC